AAATAGTGTAGTACATTAGTACTTGATACTATGTACTGTAAACAGCTGTACAAACTGTAGCTCCTGTCTGTGGAGTGAATTCAGCTCAGGCTGTTGGGGGATTAATTTCACTCACTGGCCTTCAGTCCTGTTCTAGGAGTTGAGAAATAGTTTAGGTCTTGGGTTCCCTGGAGATGGATCCAGAGATGTGAGCCTTGCCCATGAGGTTTTCTGGATCTCACACCTGTGTCTATCTCCCAGTCCTCTTTGTGACTTCGGTTTAAGTGGCTTTGTAAATTGTCTTTCTGATTATTTTTTATTTGGCCTTGTGTGCTCTGCAGATATAAGGGCAGAAGTTAGTCAGGCTTTTCTAGTTAGACTCTACTGACACCCCCAATTAGGTATGGGAGTTTTACATCAAAATGAATTCAGGCTGATGGAATTTCTTGCCTGAAGATGGGCAGCTCTCCCTGCAGCTTTCTTGGACTAGTGTCTCTCTGTCTAGTCTTGGCCAGTAGTCTTTCACAGGATGTAGTTCATCTTGTCTCTTGGGTTTGTATTAACCTAAATACAGTAGAATCATATAATTTTGGTGGCATAGAAGTCTTTATATCCAGAAGGAGAATTATTTCAGATCTTAGGCAGGAAAATTATCATTTTCAGAGGCTTTTTTTTCCCCTCTGAAGCACAGCAGTTTAAATGCTTTAAATATTTCCTTCAAATCAGCATGCAAGGAAGGAATTGGTGTGCATAAGGGAGTAGTGGTTAGTGGTCCGTGTTAACTTGCAGGATCAAATACTAAAGTTCACTGATTCTGTGGTTGTTTTTCCAGTGTCACCAGATCATCAGCTCTGTGTGATCTAAGCTGTGTCTGGTTTGTGTGCATTTGTCAGGAGAAGGAGGACAAGGGACCCTTTCCAGCACAATTCAGTAATGGAAAGAGCTGAATCTTGTTGCAAAATGGTGATGAGAAAAACAAATATTAGGGTAAAAACATACATCTCACACTTTCCAAGGCTTCAGCCAATTTTTGCCTTTAATGGAAAGGAAGCAGACAAGCTCTGTCAACAACTGGCTGGAGCAGGAGAAACGGACTTACTGCTTCCATTATATATTTGCTAATTCCTGAAACAAAAGGCCTGCTGGAAGGCTTCCTTGGGGTTGAAGTGTTTGCTCTGTGTGCTCTATCCAGCACCACTATAGCTGTGCATGCAGCTCCAATTCACTTTGGGTAGGAGCTTGTGAGACTTTGGTCTCCTCAAGGGTGGAGAGGTCTCTGCGAATTTCCCTGGATAAAACCTCTTCCTAAGTTCTGTGCAGGGTGTTTGATGATGGCACCATGAAGCCCTGTCACCCTGGGTGTCCATAGAAGTATATATCCTCTGAACTGGAGTGTTTTCTGTTGCTCTATGTGGCTTCCAAATTTATAGAATTGCAGACAGTTCAATAAAAGATGTTTTCTGCTTACTTTACTGGCACTGAGCTGTGGAGGACAGGGCAGAGGGAAGATTAGGTAATGCAGGAAGGACAGGGTCAAGGGACCCTCCATCAACCTTGCACAATACCTCTGCTACATGATTTATTTTTAATCCTGTTTATACAAGTCATCTTCACTGTCTTGCAGCTTCTTTCTTTCCCTGTGAATAAGGGGTATGTGTTTTGTCTGTTTCCTGATTGTTTTTTGTTTCTAACTTCCATAATCTGCAGCTTTGAAGAAGCTTCCAGTCTCGTGATCCCCAGTACTTGGTCTCCTGAAGGAATTCCAATCTTCTGTGCTGTCACCTTCACCAAAGGACATGGAGAAGTTCGTATCAGAAAGGCCTGTTCCTGTGATTAAGGTACTCATTGGTCTTTAGGGAATACTGTTTGCCTATCTTTCCATCACCAGAATTTGGGAGAGCTTTTTCTGTTTCCAGAGAGATTTCTAGGTTGCTTTGTTGAAATGCTGTGGAGGTAGGTGCTGTTGAAACCAGTGGCCCTTCTGGTAGCAATGCAGAGTCTTCTGGTACCATTGGCTGATTAGTCATCAAGTAATCTCACTGTACTCCTCTCTGCTTGGGAAGGGGAGGTTTTATTTCAGAGAGCTGGTTTTGGTATAAGAGTGCTGTCTCCCACGAGACTAGTCCTGTTTTCTTGATATTGATGGAAGCATGTTACAGTGAGCTCATACCTCAGTGTGTTTAAATTATCCTCACGTAGGGCACTGTGCTGAGCTTTTGCACTCAGCATTGCAGTGCAAGAGTCTCATGTTGGTGACAAGATGTGGGTGATTTCCCACAGTGCAGAACTTGAGTCACTTGGATAGTCTCAAAGATGCTCTGACCTTGTTACAGCAGGCAGAGAATTCATTCTCTCTCTCCTCAACCCTTTTTTTTTTTTCTTTTTCTTCTCCCTCCCCCAAGAATGGAATCCCTACTGTTTCACCCCAGAAGAAGCCAGATACAAACTCATGCCCTCATGCACCTGGCAAATTATTTCTCTCTGGTGGGACAGACAATGAGAACTGCAAGGCTAATGAGAAGGAAAGGCAGTGGATCCGCCCTGATACACCCAGCAAATGCACATGGAAGCTTGGGAAACCCATCTCTTCCTCCCCCCATCATCATGCTGCTCTGTAAGTATTACTTTTATCTGCTGCTTTTCAGCACTAATCCAGGTTCTCTCAGAGCCATGTGGATTTAACAGCAGATGACTGATTTAAATAGAGTCTTTTTAGCCTGTAGATGTGCTGGTGCTTCCTTATTTCCATGTCTAAGCAAAGCTAAGAGCCCAGATTGAGCATCCAAGGGGCCTTGTGCCAAGAATGTCAAACCACATGGACTGGAACAAACTTATTTTAACTAACCTGGCAAGCAGAGCACTTCATTCTTGCCTCAGCACTTGGCTTGATGTCTGATTAATCCTTATTTTGGATCAAGGACTTGATGTTTTGTCGATTTGTATCCACTGGATATATTTTTCAACTAAAATATCTCAAATAACTAGTCTGACAAAGGGGAGGGAGAAAGTTAGTTGGAATAAAAAGCACCAGAAGTGCTGTGTGGTTGTTGTGACCTGCCTGTGGCCACTCCTGTGAATACACTGACTTTGTTTGTATGTGTGCCAGGCCAGAGCCTCCAAAGATCCTGCCAAACATCCTGAATAAAGTTGGCAATACTCCTTTGGTGCGAATCAACAAGATTGGGAAGCACTTTGGGCTCAAGTGTGAACTCTGTGAGTACTGCTGCAGGCAGAAGATCAGACTAACAAACACTGTTTCAGAAACTTGGGTAGTTCTGGGTAGTAGTGTCGTGTAACCTGGGCACAAGAGTGCAGGCACCCAGCAGAAAACAGTGAGGAAAGATTCCTCTTTTTCTTTGGCAAGTTGTCAGGTTTTTATGATTTGGTCATCTAAAATACCTTTCAGTTTGAACATTTTGTGCAGCTTTTCCATTTTGGTAGAAAAAGCAAAATGTTTTTTCATAGAAAATTATTTTTTTAAATTTTAAAAAAATATGTAGAGTTTTTGATTGCTTCTCATCTTCAGAGTACTCCCTAGTGTGTGTAAACAGCTATCACTGAAACAGAGATCACTGAAAATGGTTGAAGGAGTTAAGCTGTCAGTGAATTATGTTTGTTTATAAGTCTAACCATACTGGAGATACCTGGAGGCTCTGATCAGAGTCCTGAAAGGTGGTGATCAACACTGCTGGGAGTACTGAAGTGAAAGTGTAGGCTGAACAAGGGGAGAAATTTCCAGTTTGACCAGAAACTCTTTGGCTGAAGAGCTTGTCAGGGAAGAGGGAGTGCAGGCACCCAGCAGAAAACAGTGAGGAAAGATTCCTCTTTTTCTTTGGCAAGTTGTCAGGTTTTTATGATTTGGTCATCTAAAATACCTTTCAGTTTGAACATTTTGTGCAGCTTTTCCATTTTGGTAGAAAAAGCAAAATGTTTTTTCATAGAAAATTATTTTTTTAAATTTTAAAAAAATATGTAGAGTTTTTGATTGCTTCTCATCTTCAGAGTACTCCTCAGTGTGTGTAAACAGCTATCACTGAAACAGAGATCACTGAAAATGGTTGAAGGAGTTAAGCTGTCAGTGAATTATGTTTGTTTATAAGTCTAACCATACTGGAGATACCTGGAGGCTCTGATCAGAGTCCTGAAAGGTGGTGATCAACACTGCTGGGAGTACTGAAGTGAAAGTGTAGGCTGAACAAGGGGAGAAATTTCCAGTTTGACCAGAAACTCTTTGGCTGAAGAACTTGTCAGGGAAGAGGTAAGACCAGGTTTCAAGGCCAGGCTGGATGGGGCTCTGAGCAAACTGGTCTGGTGGAAGGTTGGAACTGGATGATCTTTAAGGTCCTTTCCAATCCAAACCATTCTATTATTCTAAGACATGTTGGCAGAATTCTCTTGCCTGTGCTATTGGACTGGAAGAGCCCCAGGGCTCTTTATCCTAATGACTGGACTGTAATAAAGAGAAAAGGTGAAAGGAGAGGTCATATTTGAGGAGACTGACAGAGTGTGAGTTCCTGGCTGCTGTGACCAGCACCAAGTGACAGACTTGCTTGTTGTGACCCATAACAATGGAGATGCTGTGAGCTGTATCCCCATCTCTGGTGTTGGGATGGAGGGAGGTGAATTGGACAGACATGTTGCTCTTGCAGGTATGTCAGTGACTGCTGTTTAAGAGCTCTGCTTGGTTGCTTTGTTTCCAGTGGCCAAGTGTGAGTACTTCAACGCTGGAGGCAGCGTGAAGGATCGCATCAGCCTGAGGATGGTGGAGGATGCTGAGAAGGCTGGGATCCTGAAACCTGGGGACACAATCATAGAGCCAACCTCTGGAAACACAGGTAGGGCATGGGAAGACCTTATCAAAGTGTCTCTTCCATCCTGCACAAGGAACAATTCTGCGGTGTCCTATGCTGACCAGAGCAACAATAACCAGCTGGAAGGCAGAAATCAGGCTGGAGGTACAGGTTTTTAAGGTAGAGATGAGATGTCTGCCCCTAACAGACAGGGTACTTTGCTCTGGTCGCAAGTTGACATAAGAGATTAGAACCTCAATCACAAACAGCATCTAAGTCTTATGTTTTTAGAAAGGCCTTAGCTTCAGCACACTGCAAACTGGGGATTCAATGCAGAATTGAGTCAATAGAGGCTCTAATGATCTTCTGGAAGTATCAAAGGGTATTTAGTCTTCTCTAAATTAGTATCTAGTATCTAGATACTAATATCTGATATCTGCAGTATCTAGTCTTCTCTAAATCAAAGCACATTCCTTTCCCAAATTACTCCTTTAAAAATGAAGTGGGTGAGACAGGAGGAAGGTGATGTGCATGTGGTAAAGCTAGCAGTCTGCACATGCCAAATTTCCCCACCCTTGGCTAAACTTTCTCTTGGCTGTGAACCTCAAAGAGTGAGCAGCATCTGTAAATCCAGTTCTGCCCAATAGACAGAAACATTTCCTTTGCCACCCCTCAGGAGACACTGTACTCAAGCCTCTGGTGAAAATTTGATTAAAGCCAGGGCATGCCAAAGCTGGCACTGTGGGTTTTGTGCTTTGCTGCTCCTCACTGTATGCTCTGCATGTCTTTGCTTGCTTCCAGGAATTGGGCTGGCCCTGGCTGCAGCAGTGAAGGGTTACCGCTGTATCATCGTGATGCCAGAGAAAATGAGCATGGAGAAGGTCAGATCTGCTTTTCTTTTCAAGAATTAAAAAAAATAAACGTTTGCACTTGCAGAGTTCCTGGTGCAGATTTAGTTTTGCAGCTGAAGCTGTGACTTGAGCAACAAAGGTGTAGGCTATTGGTCTCCAGGTTGTTGACCAGGCAGAACTCTGCTGAGGGGCTGTTGCCAGTGCCCAGAAAAATCCAGGCTGGCTATCCATGGATAGAAAATATCTTTAAGACTCATCCCCACAGCACTATCACTTTGAAAACTGTCCTAAGTGTTTTAAATACAAATGTCAAGGGAACTTGAGATTTACCTAGCACATTGAAGTGATTACCTGTCCCTGGGTTAGCTGTCCCTAGCTGAGCAGAGGGTGAAGGCAGTGAAGCTTTGAACATTCTGCAGCTCTACTCTGGGCTGACTGAGGCTGTGGTGGAGCCTGTTGAGCTCCCCAGGTCACACTGGGTGATACTAACACTTGTCTGAGTTGTCACCACAACAACAAAGGGGAAAGGAGAGCTGCATCACTAATGTCCTCTTACCTTCACAGTGGAAAGCACAGAATATCCAAGTTCTAGAGCAAACCTTGTCCTGTGGTGCTGCATCTGCAGCCTAAAGAAGAGAGTAGAGAAGAGATTCCATGTGTTCCACAGCTGAACAAATGTCCCTTGGAGGCCTCTACCCATTGCTTGCTCTTACCTGCTCTAGAGGGAGAGGTACCACATGGCCATTGCCTGCTTTGCCTTAGTTTTTAATACTAGGGCAGGTTGTCCTCAGGACAACTAGACTCTAGAGCTGATAGACAGAGATAGGAAGCCAAATAGCCTCCCTGAAATCTGAGGGGAAATGGTTTGAGATCTGCTTAGCCACTTGGATCCTCACAAATCTATGGGACCAGATGGGATCCATCCCAGGGTGATGAGGGAGCTGGAGGAAGAGTTCACCAAGCTGCTCTCCATCATTTACCCACAGTCCTGGCTCACTGGGGAGGTCCCAGAGGATTGGAAGTTGGTGAAGGTCAAGCCAATCCACAAAAAGGGTTGCAAGGAGGATCCGGGAAACTACAGACCTGTCAACCTGACCTCAGTGTCTGGCAAAGTCATGGAGCAGATCATCCTAAGTGCGATCACACAACAAACAAAACACAGCTTCCTTTTTCCTCTTTTCTGCTCAAAGCAGGATCATCCTAAGTGCGATCACACAACACACAAAACACAGCTTCTGTTTTCCTCTTTTCTGCTCAAAGCAGCAGAGGAGCACCAGCAGGCATCTAGCAGTAGGACAAGAGGGCACAGACTCAAGCTCTGCCAAGGGAGGGTTAGGTTGGATCTTAGGAAGAGATTTTTTACAGAGAGAGTGCTCAGGCATTGGAATGTGCTGCCCAGGGAGGTGGTGGATTCACCATCCCTGGAGGGTTTCAAGCTGAGACTGGATGTGGCACTTAGTGCCATGGTCTAGTGACCACGGTAGGGTTGGACTCGATGGTCTTTGAGGGCTCTTCGAACCAGGGTGATTCTATGATTCTGTGATTGTCATGTGGCACCCAAGGCATCCCTCCCCTCTGAAGACAGGCTTTGCCTTAGCTCAGTGCTATAGACTTTCTGGCTTTTGTATCAGGTGATGGTGCATAGGGTCCTGGAGGATCTCCATTGCTGCCTGTGTCCAGAGGAGGAGATACATGTATATAATTTGCACTTGAAGACAAAATACAGGGATACAGCACTGTTTGAGTGCAGAACTTGGGACTAGCATGAGAGGAGAAGGTGTTTTGCCTGAATCAGGCTTCTTAATGTGTGGTAATAGTCCCTACAGGCATGAAGCCCTGGACTAGAAACGGGAATTTGACATCTGTCTTCCAAGTAAAGCTTAGTTAAAACCAAATGTCCTTAGGGCTTTGGACCCGTGGCTCGGTGATGTGAGACTGGGATTTAAAAGAACTGCTAAGAAGACTATTGAGATCAAGTTAAAGGGAAGATGGGTTTTCTTAACCCAGCATCCAAATTAAGTCTGTGCTGGGAGTGTGTTTTGGGGTTTTGTGACCATCTTTCTTTGCTACAGGTGGATGTCCTGAGAGCTCTGGGTGCTGAGATTGTGAGGACCCCAACCACTGCCAGATTTGATTCTCCTGAATCTCACGTGGGAGTAGCATGGAGACTGAAAAATGAAATCCCCAATGCACACATCCTAGACCAGGTGAGAGCCAAGGAGTCAGAGATGCTGGCATAACATGGAGAAGGTATTGCAGCTATGTGTTCCTTAGTGTCCTTGGTTCACTGTTCAACATTCCACACGTGTCTCTAGTGGAAAAGATGCCCCAAATCTGGAGCTGGAGCTGAGAATCACCGTGCTGTAGGGCAGCAAGTTTTTGTAGGCACTTGAGGGCAGCAATGAGCTGATGTTTGCCAAAAGTGCAACACGTGTGGCTTTTTCCTGTGAATGTGCAGCCCTGTGTGGAGGAACAGGCACAGGGTCATGTTGCTAACAGTAACTGTCCCACAGATGAGACTGATTTTGGTATAGGAGGGTGCTGGCACCTTAGAACAACTGTTAAATTAGGATGTATCTCCCCTCTGGGAAAGGTCCAGAAACAGTATGTGTAGCTGTCACAGTGCTTGGAGATTGTTTGACATGTTCTTGAAATGCCTCACGATGTGAATTTTGTCTTTCTGGTCTCCTTCGTGGCTGTTCTGTCTTAGTACCGGAATGCCAGCAACCCCCTGACACACTACGACACCACAGCTGAGGAGATCCTGCAGCAGTGTGATGGTATGTGTGCTCTCTGCCCTCTTCAATGAGCCTCTGGCAGTGTCTTATTGTGAGGCACTTGGAGAATGAGACCTGAGCTGTGTGGGAGATGCATGGATTTTGGTACAGCAAATCCCGTACACACGCTGTGTGTCATTAGAGAATTACCTTCTTTCAGTACTCATAGTAATGATTTTTTTTTTTTCCATTAAAGAAGAATTCTTTAGACTCCTCTGCTGGTGATCAGGTGGAGGAAGCAGTAATGCTTTAAGTTATCTCTGGAAAAAAAATAATCCATAGGTAGACTGGTATGAAATAGGATCATTTTTTTCTCTGATCACAGATACAGAAAGAGGTATTTTAACATTCCCAGATCAAATACTCCAATACACTGGAGAATTTTTCAGGAGCACAGACTGCTCTGTGTAGCAGTGTCACCAGTAGGACACTCTCACTTTGCAGGGTTCTCTTCAATGTTAGCTCTGGGCAGTTGAGTACCAGAAGGGACTGAGCAGTGGCAGCAGAGAGCTTCAGCTGGGCTCACTCCCCCAGCTGAGGAGCTGCTTTGAGAGCTGTTGGAGCCATTCAGTGTGAAGCTGCAGCCTACCATGTGGACATTTCCATAAGTGTTGGAATTAAGTCATATAGGAGACTCCTGACCTGCCTTATTAAATGGTACAGATTCTGGTGGGACTCTCTGATAAGAAAATCAGCTGTTAAATTCCTTCCCATTAAGGTGAGGACCATGTGAAAAGTTCTCCTCCTTCCCAAAACTCTAACTGTTCAAAGTTAGAGTTAACTTTCCCAAAACTCTAACTGTTCAAAGTTAACTCTAACTTTGAACTCAAACTTTGAGTTAATGTGTGTGCCCCAAACTGACAGTCCAGATGAGTTCCAGCTTTAGGCTTCTGGTGCCTATTCTTCCTTATAGGCCAAGCACTGTTCAGTTGCCCCAGCTCTGTGGAGTGACATTTGGCTTTGTGTGTGAATGGGTGACCTTTTAAAATACTTTTTTAATTAACAAAGCTGTTAATGTGGATGCAGCAAGGAAACTGTAGGTGGTGACAGAGGGATCAACTATCATATCCACTCTCACTCTGAGTGCTCATGACCAAAACAGTCCTCCTCACATGAAAATGAAAGAGTAGCTGTGTTGTAGGCATCTCCATGGATGCCTATCCCATGCTCTTGGCACTCATTCAGTTAATTAACTAATAGAATGGACTGCTTGGTTTAAGTTAGAGAATGAATTATCTGTATCAGCAAAACTGCAGGAAAACTGCACCTGTCAGCAATAAGAGCCACCTCCAGCTGTGTGCAAAGTGCCACAAATTGGTGCTTTGCCAGACCCTTGGATGGACATTTCAAAACCCTTGTTGAAGCAGATGAGGATTGAGCAAGGCAGGCTCAAGGCAGGTGTCATAACAGCTCTTGGGGAGCAGAGAGGCTTATTGTGCCCTTTACTGTCACTCTCTGCATTTTTGTTGAAGAAAGTCCATTCTCAGGTGTAAGTGGGTTTTTAATCCATCATTCTGCTGGAGATTTCACAACTGCCTTCTATTCCTCACCCTTAAACAGGAAAGGTAGACATGCTGGTGGCTACAGCTGGCACAGGAGGTACTATCACTGGCATCTCCAGAAAGCTGAAGGAGAAGTGTCCAAGTTGCAAAGTAAGTGACAAGCTTAATGCATTTCTCTTTAGAGGGGTCAACCTCAAACTGCTCCACTTGGCACATCCCATTTCTTGCAAGCTTGCCCTGGGTCTCTGTGGGAAGCTCTTGGATGTTTTCAGTTGGAAGGTAGTTCTGAGCCACAAAGAAAGGTTTTCAGCCTGTCTGAAATCATTGTGCTCTGGTTTCATTGGTGACCAGAGTTCAGATTTGGCTCGATAGATGAAAACTGGCCTTCAGATCCTTTAGTGGGGTGTCTGAGAAACTTCTTCCACCAGTGTGTAGTCTGCAGCCTTGTGTTTCCCCTCTGACTGTGCCTTCACCAACTTGCCTGGAGCTGCTGAGGTTTCACCCAGTGAAATTGTTCCTGCACACACCAACCTGTGTGCCTGCCTGTGTGCTGTTCCTCACAGAACTTGGTATCCTGCTTCAATCATGAATATTTTCCTACACGGGCAGGGAGTGGTAAAGAAAGTAAAACTGATCTGCTTACACTTGGCACAAAATGTGTTGGCTGTAATAATACCTGAAGTGAACAAGGACAATCTTGTCTCTGGGAAACCCTGTTTTCTGTTTAAACCACGTAGAGCAAGTGGTGCCTATAAGTGTCCACAGCCTGAGGAGATAGGATGGGCTGCCAAGGGGCCAGAAGCAGCATTTTGCTCCCAGAAAAGGTGAATGTTGCCAGGAAGACATGAGGAGGAGACCAGGTTGCTTTTAGCTTGGCTGTGTGTGCAAGCACTGTGACACCAGCAGCTGTAACAAGGCCAGTTCCTGAGTGGAAACTGCTTCTCCAGATTATAGGTGTGGATCCTGAAGGCTCCATCCTTGCTGCCCCAGAAGAACTGAACAAGACTGACAAGACAATGTATGAAGTGGAAGGAATTGGATATGATTTTGTCCCCACAGTGTTGGATAGATCTGTAAGTCACACTGCTTGGTTTACTGCCCTTTGCCCTCTGTTGGGATGCAGAGTGAGGTGAAAGGTGAAGGAAAAACTTGGAAGTGTTTATTTGAGCTGAAATGGGAGGGCTAGCAGGCAGAACTATTCCTGTTCTTTCCATCAGCAAAAGCAGTCCTTGGAATGCTTCTGTCAGGGCCACATTTGTTTTACAATGCTAGGTCAAAATGTTGTGAGCAGATAACATTTTCCTAGAACACTTTGGTTTTTTAAAAAGAAAAACTCAACACACTCTAAAAACTCACCCACAAACACATAATAAAAATACCACAAAAGAAACCAATAAAAAAAACCAATTCCAAGAAAGCATCCCAACCCCTCTTGAGCAGAGCCTGTGTCCCTGGGAAACCCTCCAAGAGGGGAGGAAACTGATGCTCTCTGGCTGACTGACAGCAGCCTGTTTTAACAGTGAGGTTCCATTATGCTGATGACACAGGGGAAATTCACTGTTTTCACTGTTAGGGTGGTCAGGCACTGGAATAGGCTGCCCATGGAGGTGGTGGAGTCACCACATCTAGAGGTGTTTGAGGCATCTGGATCTGACACAGGAGGATATGGTTTAGGGGTTACAGCAGAGTGGCAGGTTAATGGTTGGACTCAATGATCCTAGATGTCTCCTCCAACCTTGATGACTCCATCATTCTATGAATGTGATCATCTTACCTTGGCAAAAAACCCATTTGGCATTGGCAGGATGGAAACCCAGGCCCATGGCTCAGTAGGGCTGTTACCTCAAAGAACATGGGTTGAATTCACTTTGGTTGTGTAGTTCCCCTAGCCCTCATTTTAATAGACCCTTGTTTGTCTATTCCTGCCCCTCCCCAGACAGTGGACCAGTGGTACAAGAGCAACGATGAGGAGTCGTTCGCGTTGGCGCGCATGCTGATCCGGGAGGAGGGACTGCTGTGTGGTAAGAGCAGATGCAAATCCTTTGGGTTTCTGAGTCGTACATGGGAGGCTGAAATCTTGTGCAGATCTCCTTCCACTTCAGAACTTGTCTTCCTCACTCTGGGCTCATCCGTCTCCTCCTCTCAGTTGGCCATTCTCATTTCCCTTATGGCTTTGCCCATGACTGCTCTGTGTTTTGGCAGGTGGCAGCTCAGGCAGTGCCATGTCTGTAGCTGTGAAGGCAGCCAAAGAGCTGAAGGAGGGTCAACGCTGTGTTGTTATCTTCCCTGACTCCATCAGGAACTACATGTAAGAATCTGCTTGTTTTCTCTCTGGGAAAAGGGTGAGGCAGTCCCCCAGACCTCCTTACAGCAGTGATTTGAAGATGGATTTCACATAATACCCAGTTATCCAACAAGGAGTGTGGGGCACAGTTTCTGAGGTATTTAGAAAGGGTCTGATGTGGAAGAGAGAGGAGCTTACCCCTCTGAAAGCTGAGCTCTGATTTCTGTAATCATCACTGGTTAGCACCTTTCATAGGAGAAGACTTGCTTTCACTGTGGGATTTATTGGGGACCACTGGTGTTATCCCATTCCTGGAAGGGCCCCTGTTACAGGACAGGTGAAAGTGTGAGGGCTTGAGCTGTGCTGAGAAGTTTTTTTTTCCTACTGCCTTGAAACACATCCCAAAACATGATGGTTTTAGCTGTGTTTCCTGAATTCTGTGTGTCCAATACATTACTGGAGATGGCACTTAGTGCCTTGGTCTGGTAACCACGGTAGAGTTGGACTTGATGATCTTTGAGGTCTCTTCCAACCAGGTTGATTCTATGATTCTTTGAGCTGTGCTGAGAAGTTTTTTTTTCCTACTGCCTTGAAACACATCCCAAAACATGATGGTTTTAGCTGTGTTTCCTGAATTCTGTGTGTCCAATACATTACTGGAGATGGCACTTAGTGCCTTGGTCTGGTAACCACGGTAGAGTTGGACTTGATGATCTTTGAGGTCTCTTCCAACCAGGTTGATTCTATGATTCTACTAGACAACTAGAAACTGCAGACAAACCTTGCCTGGTACATCTCCATTCCAGGCTGTGTCTCTATTGTATTGCAAGGGACTGATGTAGTTGGAACTTTGTTTCCTACAGGATTCCTTTTGCTTCCTATGAGTATTTCCTCTCCATGTCCCTGGCTGGTAAGCTTGGATGGCAGATGACAGTCTGTTTTTAATAACACTCTAGTTGTTAGTGGTAGTGAGCTGTAAACAGTTGCCTCTGTGTGCTGTTTGCTGTCAGATGTTCAACCTGCTAATGAACTTTTTACTTCCTGATGCTTTCCAGGTCCAAGTTCTTGAGTGACAAATGGATGATTCAGAAGGGGTTCATGAAAGAAGAAGACCTTGGCAGCAAACCTTGGTAAGCCAGTCAGATCCATTTGGATTTTCATGATCCTATTCAGTTGACTTTGTGGCAGTTGCTAATTTAAAGCTCATTTCAATTTACACAACTTCCTTTGATTTGGCTAATATTGCATGGTATTGTGTTGATGTATAATTGCAGCTATTAATCAAATCTGCTTATATTAATTGGCATCCTTCTTTGAGTTGCATGGCAGCAGAAGAAAACTGGGGATTTAATGATTTTTTTTTTTTTTTAAATGAAAAGCATTTAATCTGGAATTAAAAAAAAAGCAGTTTGCAAAGAACTCTTCTGAGATCAGAGTTCTTGAGTGCAAAGCACTGCAAATCTACACAGGTGGAAGGGAATCTTCCCTAAATTGTTACCTATCATGACTGTAAATATGGATAGACCTTTGGGTAGGAGCACAAAACTTTCTGTATGAGATATAAACAATGAAATTAGGGAGATTAGTGTTCTCCACTAAATAGCTGTAATCCTAGAAAGTAGATGAATGGGGAAAAGGGTTCCAATCTTAAAGCCTTCTCACACTTCAGGAACTTTCTGATATTGGGGGTAAAACTTGGAAGCTTGAAGCTTTGTTGACTCTGGCTGAATCCTGACTCTTCCTTGCAGCCTTTTGTCATTCCTGTAGTGTTGGAGGTCACTACATGAAGAACTGGTTCTGTTCTCTCCCATAAGACTTGCATGGGTTTGTTTTTTATTTCATACCCAGGTGGTGGAACATCAGTATTCAGGAGCTGAGCCTCTCTGCTCCCCTGACTGTGCTTCCAACTGTTACCTGTGCGAAGACTGTGGAAATTCTCCGAGAGAAGGGATTCGACCAGGTACCAGTTGTTGATGAATCTGGGTATGTCCACATCTATCACTATTCATCCATATGTTCACTTCCCTCTCCAGGTCCCAAGGGATGTCTTTTAAGTGCTTACTGGAAGTATAATATCCTCTCACTCATCCTTTTTCAGTTGTAGTAGCACAGTTGAGAAATGTTGCCTTAAACACACCAATACTGGACTTGGTGTGTTGTCATGCCAGGACTGTCCTGCCCTTCACATGATTCTAATGGTTATTATGATATACTTACTCAGTGTGTCTCTGCAGGATAATTTAATTGGATTTTTTTAGTATTATTATAATAGCTGTTTAACTTAACAAAGCAAAAATTGCTATTTAAAACAACCAACCCCAAACTTAGCCACCTCCACCTCAGCTTTCATCCAGTTTCTTCAGAGCACTGTGGTGCTGTGCAGTGCTATAGTGACCCCTATAAACCAGGCTATCCCCAGCAAGGGGAATATGCCTTGTTACACTGCCAGGTCTCCTGCAGACAGGCTGAATGAAGAGTTGCTCAGTTAGTCTCCAGTTACAAGTGCTAACTCAAGGGATTATTGTTATAGATCCTCATAGGGAATGAAAACTGGGGTGAGTGTGTCACTGGTGCTCACACCTTTCAAAAGGACAGAGGAGAGCATAAAACAATGAAGTAGTCTGTGCTTTTCACAAGCTCTCTGAGATTTGCAGGAAGCTTTCCAGTTGCAAGGAGCAGAGATTCAGAGAGCCTGATGCTCAGAAGGGCCAGGTACCCACAGCACCTGCTGCCTTATGTGTGTCCAGAACCTCTGAGAACTGGACTCTGTCTCCTGCAGAGACACAGAATTCAAGTATACCATCAATAATGCTGCATTATTACCATGAAACAGCTTGAACTGACTTATCCAGGCTGGCTGAGAGTGGATGCTCTTATCTACAGGAACACCTGAGGCTTTTGTGTTGTTTAGCCCTATCTTCTCTCTTTTTCCCCAGGGTGATTTTGGGCATGGTTACCCTGGGTAACATGCTTTCCTCGCTGCTTGCTGGAAAAGTTCAGCCTTCTGATGAAGTCAGAAAAGTAATCTACAAGCAGTTCCAACAGGTAGGCAGGTGCATTCTACAGCTCCTAGTTCTCTGGTTCAAAGTACTAGAGCAGGTGTCCTAACATGACAGTGCCATCAGGTTGGGTAAGGTTTGCCTGGGACCATGCCCAGCAGCTGTTGTTGAGCACAGATGTGGTCCTAGGTCAGTCCACACCTCCCAGGTCTGTGTTGTGGCTATATTGTGCTGTTTCATTACTTCAACAGGCTTTTTTTTCTGGCATGCTTGTCCTTTTCTCCTTCCCCAAAACCCCAGCACAGATGGTGGGCAGTGTGTAACTATCCAGGGAAAGACACAGGGAGATGTTGAAACAGCTCTGCTAAATAATTTCTGTACCAGATGAAAACAAGCAACTTTTTGCCTTGTGTATCAGATGCCTTGCTGAAGCAGGGGAATGGCAGCTGAAAGCTGATATTGTCAAGATAAGTGAATTTTGATGTTATTCACTATCATCTGTCTATCCAATGTGGAATGGTGCAGCTGACACCCCTGAAGGACAGGCTGCGCAGAGAAGTTGTGGATGCCCCAGCCCTGGAGGTATTCAAGGCCAGGCTGGATGGAGCTCTGAGCAACCTGGTCTGGTAGAAGGTGTTCCTGCCCATGGCAGGAGGTTGGAACTAGATGAGCTTTATGGTCCCTCTCAACCCAAACCATTCTATGATACCACAACTTCCCAGCTGTATGGGCACTTGTCTAAACTATATAAGTAGTGCTGTTGTTGCTTTACTTCTCTTTCAGGAAAGAATTTTGGTTTCAACATGGAATGTTTGACTTAGTTTTCACTAGGCTTTTAGTTCCAACACTATCTCAAAGCAGATGAAGTGCTATGTTCTGGAAGTACATGTAATGCTTCTATTCAGCCCTGCAAGGGCCCTGAGGCTGAGCAAGGATGCTGGTTCTTTATGGACAAATGTAAATGTATTCTTTCCTTCCCAGACAGATAATCAAGCATTGTGTGGAAATGTGGTGCGTAACACAACTGCTTAGTTCATGTTCTCCCTCATTTGGACACTTTAAGAGTTTCTGGGGCTGGTGGTGTGTGATCACTTCTGTAGCTATACTGGTGTTGGCTGTGTTAGCCAGTTCTCTGTCCTTCTGAGGTTGTGGCTTTTGCCATGGGCAGCTTGAAGTTTCTGATGCTTCTTCTTCTGGTTGGTGTTTCAAGCTGCATTACAACCTGCTGTTCCCTTAAACACAGCCTGCTGGGAATCCTTTAGATCTCCTCTGGCTCCCAGTATGGAGTCAGAGCTGTGTTCCAGTGCAGCCCACCTACTCATGCTGTGGCATTTGTTCCTCACTCACAAGCTCAGCTCACTGCAGGGTGAAGGCTTTTTGAGCCTGCAGTGCTGTGAACTCCTTCAGTGCCCTGTAATGAAAGTGTGTCAGGTGGTGGGTGCTGCATGGACCTGGGGAGAGCCCCTGGGTAAGGGACCTGTGGCTGCTGCTCAGTGTGTTAAAACATGTAAGAACAGATTAATGCAGTTTATTAACTGGTTGCAGCAGGTGATCAACTCGGTGTTTCAGGAGGATCTGTCCAGGTTGCTTTCTTGTTTAGTCTTAGCAAAGTTGAACTTCACCAAAAATGAACTCTTAGCTCAGTTCCTTGATTGGCACCTGAATACAGTGTTAGCTGAGCAGTCTTTCACCCCTGGTTTTGGTTTTGGCTTGTTTGGGCTTTTCCCCTGCTGCCTTTGCAGATTGTATTCACTTCCACAATGATTTGCAGCCTGTTTCATTCACTTTTTCCCAACCCTGTTAGAATAAAATCACCAGGTATAAAGGGTAACTTCTTCTATTAAGAGAGATGGAACACTTGACCTTCATCCCTTATTAACATGTTTTAGATATTCAGTATATTAATTATGTTTACAGAATCAGAGTGAATAACTTCATGTAGTGCTTCATTTTCTTGTTCTGTTTTCTTGGAGATTAGAAACAAAGACAACTGATCTTTTAAGTTGGCTTTGATTTGTTAGTGGTTTAAAATACTTCAGATGGAGCAGTGCACAAATGCTGGAGTATTGGTTTTAGTCCTGCATGAAGTATAAGGGGATTATTGACCACTAAACATACAAAGGAATGTGTTATTTATGTTTTGCATCTCTCTCCTCAGATTAACCTGAAAGACAACTTGGGGAAACTCTCTCATATCCTGGAAATAGATCACTTTGCTCTAGTGGTTCATGAACAAATTCAATGTAAGTACAGTCCCAGGTTAACTACACTCCATTTTTTTTTTGTGTTTCTAAAGCAAAAACTTTATTACAACTTTATAAAGTTTAGTAAGGTCTGGATATTGACACTAACATCACACCCTGTGCCTGAGAGCACTGTCCAAATGCTTCTTGAGCTCTCTCAGAGTTGGAGCTATGATCACTTCCCTGAGGAGCTGTTCCAGCGCCCAAACACCCTTGGGGAAGAGCCTTTCTCTAATAACTAGCTTAAACCTCCCCTGCCTCAACTTCAGGCCATTCCCCCAGGTCTGTCACTGGCTGCCAGAGAGAAGAAGTCAGTGCTGCTCCTCCACTGCCCCTCGTGAGGGTGTTGCATACAGCCATGAGGTCTCCCCTCAGTCTCCTCCAGGCTGAACACACCAAGTGACTTCAGCCACTCCTCCTATGGCTTCTCCTCAAGGCCCTTCACCAGCCTCATTGCCCTCCTAAAGTTTCAATTTCTGTATCCCTTTTGCTGAGGAGTCTTTCTGAGCTGGAAATCCTTGCCACTTCCTCCGTGAGTGTTGGCCAAGATGCCATTTGGATTCCACCTCTGTGTACCAGTGTCACCAGGGATCACCAGCTCCAGGCCCTGACACGTTGACTCCTTCCTTTACAAACAGTGCCATTAAAACCAAGCAGGATGGTGTGGGTTGGTGTCTCCTAAAGCAGAATTCCCTTTGTTTCCATGCAGATCACACCGACGGCTCCTCCAGTA